TCGATCTTGCAATCTTCCCACGACGTTAAGGAGGATTGTGGTCCTCAAACCAGCGCACGGTAATTTCTTCAACGAGAAGTATAGGCTCAGCAGGAGCTGGTTGTCTTTCCACCCATTGTGGCGGGCGACACGGTCAAATTGCTCAATCCAGCCCTCGAGGTCTTCATAAGCCTTCCGTGAAAAGGCGTCGGAGTGTCAAATGCGACAGGCTTGCAAACAATGGTGGGAGCGGACGCGGTTTGCTGCTACAGGTGTTCCATTGTTAGCTTACTCAGCTTCGGTTTTTCTGACAGGAAACCCAATTCTGGTGGTTCTTGCTGGTAGCAGCGACTGGCTCGGATCTCAAGTTTTTCGAGGCGTATTTCTGAGGTTCTTGCGGTACTCGCTCGTCTTGCGGTTTTTCTGCCGGGCAAGGGATAGGACTTGGTCCAGGGCTCGCCGGGGGTTTAAGACGCGGGATAGTCCGCCACTCGTGTCCCGTTATCGGGAAACTCGGCTGGGAGCTGCCAGGGTGCACACAGAGTGAAGGGCTCTGGGTTATATAACCAGCACCTCCACCAGACTGTGCGATGACTGCCGAGCATTGCCTGGTACTTTTCAGAATATTAAATATTGATAGAAGACAGGACTGGAGCAAGCATCCGTGACAATATAACAAACTGACAGAAGAGTGTATCCTTACCACTGAAAAAGCTGCATTCCTTTAGAATGCGCTGGGTAGGTAACACGCTCGGTGAAATATCCATACAGCTTGCAATTCGCGTAACGAGTGTTGATGAAACGTTTGTGTCGACGAAACGTGCGACAGACCTGCAGAATACCAACTACAACACCTGTGCTCCGTGAAAGTGCACGTCTACGCCAGAACAATTTAGGAAGCACCACAGCATCACCTAAAGGACGGCACAGGAACTACCTGCTTAGAGGCAGCTCTCCGGAGCGCCGCACAACCAAAGTCAGCCTTCGGTTATTTGAACGAAGCGGCACCACGATTGCGCATTGCCAAGCACAACTCACGCAATTTCGGTCGTTGAACAGTGTATCCAAATATGTTGCACACGCTTCACTGCAGACATCGAAGATTCTGATGGTCAACGAGAGCACAGAAACGCCGCCTTAAAATTTATCCCAGCGGTATCCGAATCAGTCCGAGGTCCGAGCAACGTAGGGACGATTGTCTCTTTCGTGGCAATGTACCCTTCCATCAGTAGCGAAATGCACACCGTTCTTTCGCACTTTCAAGTTATACCTACGTCAGGCTCCACGCTGAACTCTGAAGTCACTTTCGACCGGCATCATATGACGGCTTCGGCGTCTGGAATCAACTCGCCGAGACAAACGAAAACGAACAGAGCATCCGACAAGCTCCGGCCAATGCTCCGGCCCAGCTGGGGTCAGCCGCTGCCTGGGCGCTGCCATCTTTCCTGTGACGTCACGTATTTGGTTTGGTCACGTGACGAGTGGTTCAAATTGCATACAATGGCAGCGGCCTTATGGAAGTCATTTTCGAGTGCAGACCGGAACCCCGGTTTATCGCTGTAAGCTCCTCTACCTTGTTGGGGTTCCCCTAGAAATGGCTCTTTGATACTCTTTATTACCAGATCCTCGCACTCCAAATCTGCGACCGAGTACTTTATGGCTCCGTCGTCCAACTGTTAGCCTTTGTGCGTATACAGGAGGCTATGGCAGAGTGAGACAAATCCGATAGCTTTAGTGTCTATCCACTTAGTATGCCAACCAGAACTCGGCGTTCTGACGTCCCCGCACTCTCTCGTCTCCCTGTCTCTCAGTTTCTCGACGCACTGGACCCAAGTTAAGCCCCTAGCTTTCCTAACATTGAGCTAACTTAGGCGTTCTTCTAGCTGGGCTGCCTGGGTACCAGCTTGTATTTTTCCGAAGTACATCCACCACTCGCGTCGACTTGTACGATGGCATTGTCTCCCCGATTAATTACGCCAGACTCATCAAGCGCGCAGCAAACCCGTGTTCCGTCTTCTCCGCAGGCTCCTAATCACCGTCCAACTTTACGCTGTAGTCGCACGCAAACACACGGACGCGAATAGATACGCGCTCTCGGTAATGAAGAAAGCGAGCAGTTCTACTCAGTCTCCGTGATCCAGTTCATGCCATCTTGAGGCCACTAATCGAATCTGCGCAACTAATGCCCTCTCGATTAGCGAAGAATTGGCGGCGAAAGACGAGGTGCATCTCCCCAATTGACCGGCAATTCCATGCCAACGTCACTTGAACTAAGCCTTTTCCGGGGCCGTGCCAGCCGTGTGCTCTCAATTAATGCGCGCTGTAGTTGCCACAATTTTTCGATTGCTGTGTGACACGAGTTCCGGCCGGAATTAAATGAAGCAGTCTTTGAGTGCGGATTCTTCCAAAGTTCATGAAACGTGAGCGCATTTGTACCCGTATGGAAATCTTATATCTGGGCCATATCTGGCCATATCAAACATTATATGATTATATACGGCCTATATACAGCCATATCTGGCGTATATATAGACTTATCTGGCGTATATACAGCCTGATATGGCGTATATACAGACTTATCTGGCGTATATACAGACTTATTTGGCACATATACAGCATGATATGGCGTATATAAAGACATATTTGTCGTATATACAGACTTATCTGGCCGGCCGGTTTTCAATCTATTCAAAAGTTCAAAAAGTAAAAAAAAAAATCTTTGTTAGCAAACTCTGAATGACTCATTGTTCGCGAGCTAAATATTAGCACAAATGATCCCAAACTTCAGCTTTGACAAGCTTAAGTTTGAGATTACTTGTGCTAGTTTTCACGAGGATTTCAATGATGCTTAATTATTTCAAAGTGTTGACATTACGCCCGAATAGACAATTTGCTAAATCCCCCAAGCGCCTCGGCCTCCACTCCAGGAATCATGGAGACGGTGTTTCTTCGGCTGCCTAGTGATCGAAAATTTCGGGCAATTCTATGGTTACACAGATTTGACTGTGATTCGGAGTCACCTTGAGCACGTGCCGTACAGAACCCAAATACCTGCCATACCACTTTTAAAATGTCCCACCAATGTTAGTGTACTGTGCATTCTGTCCAACCTTCAACCTGGATGAGCTGCAGACATATCTCTTACATTATTATCATTCTCATACAGCTTCTAAGACGCTGATATTAAGTTAGAAACGCAAAAAATGTCATAAACAGCTTCGCTGAATCCGAGCTAAATCCCGGTTTTGGTTGTTGTGATTTCTCGGCTTTTAAGTAATTCTTGGTAAAACAACAATCACGAGAATGATAATATGGTAAGAAATTTCGGCGGCTCAGCTTGGTTGAAGGTTAGACAGAATGCACAGTATCATAAACGCTGCCAGTGACGAGAAAATTTAAAAGTGATATGACAGGTACTTGAGCCCTTTGGAACGCTTGTTCAGGGTGACTACGAATTACACTCGAAACTGTGTAACCATGGAATTGATCAAAACTAGCGATCACTAGGGTGCTGAAGGATCACCGTTTCCATAACTTCTCGAGTGCAGGCCGGGGCACTTGGGAGAATTGTAGACATTAAAAAGATATTGAGTGCTGATTTCAGGCTTGTGTCCTTTTGAACTGCCTGGCCAGATCTGGAATTTCCTTACTTAGCCAGATCTGGAATTTCCATACCTGATTTTCAGGCTATATCTGGCATTATGAGGCTATATCTGGCAGATATACTATATCAGGTTATATGTGGCCAATTTTTGATATGGCCATATCTGAAATATTCAGATCTGGCCAGATATAAAATTTTTGTAAGGGTAGAGGTTTGCGGTTTTTTCCGCTGGCTAGCGTGGCCCCTCGTGTGTGGGATGGCGTCCTTGGGGTTATGTCGTAGCTGTTGCGGCAGTAATGCTAGCTATTAATATTTCGATACTCGATGGAACAGGTGTTTCAATGTCCAGTTATCGCGTCTTCGTCGTGTATACGGGCGTATTTTTCTGTTTGGCTGCTTTGTGTGGCTTGAGAAGTACCTTTATGCGTTTGCCTCTCGTTCATCCATAAGCTTTAGGGCGATTTCGCCAGTTTGAAATATAAATAAATGTAATATGGATATTGATTACAGGATAAAAAATAATGAAAAACAAAACCGCCTAGGGTAGCAGCAGAAAGGTATCTGGCAGACTCGCGTTTGTGAAACTTAAGTGACACCGAGCCCCGACGGTCGAACAGGCCGTTAGGCCGCGTTGGTCTTTTAGCAGGTCGCTAAGAAGAAATTCCTTTTCCCGTTTTTGAGTAAAACGATTGAACCGTGTTATCATGACCGACCAGCAGGTATGACCACCCTTGATAGACGTGCTGCGCTGCGAAGTTGTACAGAACAAACGCGTGACTAAAAAATTGAAAATGAAAAGGATGAGTTTACATTGAGATGAGGAGAAACACAACGAACACAAATGGGCGCAGACTAACAACTGTTTATTCTTTTCTTTTTCCTCCTTTTCAATGCATGAGTTTCCCAATGCGTGAGTTTTGAAAAGGAGCGAACGCTATGAAATAATGATAAATGTCTTCATGAAGATGTGTGGACTTTCGATTTTTGTGGTGTTTTTCCCGTTTTCTGATAAACGTTCGGTTTTTGTGGTGTGAGAGGGGACCTTGAAGCTGGTGCTGGTATCCGCCTCGTTATGTTATGTATTGTCTCAGCAGTTCAATTTCCTTTTTGTTCAGAGCAATGGAAGGATCACTGATCTGTACAACTTCGCAGCGCAGCACGTCTATCAATGTACAACCAACTAGCCCAAACCCAAGTCCAAGCTTTATTAATCTTCATTTCGAGTGCATCGGGCTTTTTTGTTCTCCCATCACCACCTCTCCCACGCATACATCACTTCATCGGATTCATTGCTGAGGCAAGATGCAGGACACGCATTCTGACGTACGCCCTCACACACGGCTTGTCAGCACCTGTTCTGATTTCCTTATTCGGAAGGATGGCACCGGGGGAGGCCACAGCAAGGCATTGCTGCAAAATGCTGCGCTCCGAGACTTGGAGGCAAGTACGCTTCTTCAAGCTCAACATCAGGAGTATTTGCGAGGCCTTTTTATCACCGACCCGAGCCAAGTTGATGTACTACTTCATCGATATAGCGGAGAGCCAGGGTGAGAGCCAGTGGACTAAATGCATGAACAACATGCCGAAAAAGAAAAAAAGGATGAAGGACGAAAAAGAAAGGCTCATCAACATGACCAATCTAACCATCCCAGACAACGTCTCCAAGACATTAGAAAAAGGACCCAAATATGCAGTAGAGCCTAAGGCCAAAACTGTGGACCTGATCGGTATGGTGCACGACGTTGCAAGGAAGGTTTCTGAAGAAGAGAAAAACGCATGCATAGCTGCCGGCATCAGAGCTGTTTCCAACAAATTAAAAACAGCCAGGCAACCAGGCGTGAACACCAACCACACGGTATGTTGGATTAGAAGAAACAACTGCAGCCTCCTGCTAGCTGACAAGACAGGAGAGTTCGTCATCTTAGAACAGGAAATGTGCAAAAACAAAGCCAAAGAATCTATGCTGAAAAACTTCGAGGAACGAAAAGACATCAACGAAAGGTGTATGAAAAACGCCAGAGCACAAATGGCCAGACAGTGTGAAGAACTAGGCATCACCAAGATAGCGAAGGAAGTAAAAGGCAGCAGTCAACTATGTCTAAACCCATTCTTTGCAGTCAAAACGCACAAAGAAGGCAGTCCATTCCGGGTAATAGTAGAAGACAAAGGCACATGGCAGCATGTGATTGCAAGAGAACTACAGAAATCCTTGTCCCTTCTACACATCGATGATCCGTTCCTGGTACGCAACTCGGATGAGGTGGTGGAATTCCTGAATGGAACACAACCCATCATTGCTTTCTCGGTAGATGTAAAAGACATGTTCTACAACGTGCCACAGCAAGGAGCCTTAGAGGCAGTGGAAGAGTGCATCGACGTCTACGGAAGCGTAAACTTCCAAAACCAGAGTGGGATCAGCACATCAGATTTCCTCGATCTCCTCCGCACATACTTAAGCTCCCTGCACGTCATGTATGAAGGAAGTGTTTACACGCAAAAAGAGGGCATTTGCATAGGTTCGTGCATAGCACCAGCCTTATGCGACATATACCTTGCAAGAGGAAACAGAGATCTAGTGTCGTTTTTCCAGGAGATCGGAGTTAAAAAGTGCTTTAGATACGTGGACGATTTCCTGGTATGTTTCCCTATAAACAAAATGACAGACCACGTGTGCGAAAAGGTCAAGCAGAGCTTCAAGCAAGCGCACAGAGGCCTAGAATTCACGTTTGAACCACCGGAAAGAAGCAGGCTGCAATTCATAGACATCGAAATGGCATTTGGAGAAAAGCATACATGCTGGATGTACAAGACAAGAGGGGCAAAAGGCATACTACCGTACGACTCGGGGCACACCAAATTGGTGAAGAGGAGCGTCGCCTCTGGGTGCGTATGGCAGGCCATAAAGAAATCTTGCCACCACAGAATGTCAGAAGGCCTACAAAGGCAAATCACCCGACTACAAGCAAGCGGCTACCCAGAGTCCCTGCTAGTATCTGTAGCAGAAAAATGCATAGCAACACTCAGAGGCAATCACAAAACCAAGGAAAAGGATCAGGTCAAAAAAACCTCTGGTAGTGATGCCATACGTTCATAAATTTTCGCACCAACTGAAAAAGATCGCCGAAACGCACGAGGTCAAAGTAGCCCTATCCGCCCCATTCAAGCTTAAAGGACTGTGCAAAAAGGTTAACGAAGAGGAAGGCGACACATCGGGTCAATCGTCGTGCCGGGTAAAGCACAAAAACAAGTTCCTCGAATGCGTAGAAGGGGTCGTCTACAAAATACCATTGACGTGCGGAAACTCATACATCGGGCAGACGGGGAGGTGCTTAAATGACAGACTCAGAGAACATAAATATTCATGCGGGCAATTGCAAGCACCTGGCAACTTAGCAGCGCATTGCGCGAGATGCAGCTGCGAACCGCTATTCGAAAACACATCAGTAATGGACAGATCAAAAAATAGAAACAAACGAGAAATCATAGAAGCCTTCCACATGGCATCAGGGAAGCACGGCAAGTGCGTCAGTGATCCTTCCATTTCTCTGAACAAAAAGGAAATTGAACTGCAGAGACAATACATAACATAACGAGGCGGACACCAGCACCAGCTTCAAGGTCCCCTCTCACACCACAAAAACCGAACGTTTATCAGAAAACGGGAAAAACACCACAAAAATCGAAAGTCCACACATCTTCATGAAGACATTTATCATTATTTCATAGCGTTCGCTCCTTTTCAAAACTCACGCATTGGGAAACTCATGCATTGAAAAGGAGGAAAAAGAAAAGAATAAACAGTTGTTAGTCTGCGGATTCGAAGCGCGTGCACCGAACTGATCGGACGCACTTTTCCTTGCTCTGGGCATTTTCGATTATTTTAGTCATCAGTCGCAAATACGAACCACCGGCTGCAATTTACAGCAGCGCGGGTTACTTCGAGTAACCCGGCACATGACATGACCTTCCAACCCGGTGCAAACGTACTGGAATAAGCGACCAACCTTCCTTCGTGCTCAAAGCAGACTCCTGCTAGGAGGGACCACACATACAACGCAGCTCAAGACACTCAGACTGGACTCTCGACCCTTGGAAAACGTCGCAACGACGGGGACGGAGAGCCTGCGGACTTGCTGGCGACTCCTGCCAAACTGCAAGCACCACCGGGTGACTCAATGGAGGAAGACTTAATTGAAGGTGACCTAGAGGGCTTCGTTCTTGCCTCACATCGCCGACAAAGAACGACAGGTATCCCTGTACTCCTTACACCGGTCAATGAGGAGCATCGTCTGCAGCGACAAAATCCACTGACCTTGAGTACCGAGGTGAACGAAGCAGCAGCTGCTGCCATTTTGCGACATCGCTTCACAAATAGAGGTGGCCTTATGGTGGAGGTTGCTGGAACCACCACAGTCGACCGACTCCTGAAACTTCGCCTTCTCGGTGGGGTTCCCATCAAAGCTACAGTGCCGAGGACTTACCTACAGAATGGTGGTCTTGTCAAGGGAGTTCCCCTTTGGCATACCGATGCCGACATAACATCATTTCTGCAACAAGACGGAGTTATTGCAGCCCGCCGCTTATATCGACGTCAAGGAAAGTCCAGAGAAGCTGCGCAACCAACAGACCGTGTAGTCCTGACCTTTCGCCCAAATACAGACCGCCCAGTCCGAGTAAATCTCGGATTTACAAAACATGATGTAACAGAGTTTATTGAAGCTCCAACCAGATGCTACAACTGCCAAGCACTTGGTCATGTCGCTAAATATTGCAAAGGTGCCGCAAAATGCAAGAAATGCGCCCAGCAACATTCCACCAAAGACTGCAAGGGCGAAGCACCATTCAAGTGCGCCAACTGCGGCGGAGATCACCCAGCAAGCTACGTCAATTGTAAAGCGCGGCTGACGGCTCTTGCAAGAACCAAGAGATTCGTCCATGGCCCGAAAGTTGCGCCGTCAACAAATGAGGCAGAGGTCCCTCAAGGCCCCTGGCCTCCTCTTGAATCATCCACCGCCGACCTTCAAGCAACACAAGACACGGTGTCCCCTGCGTTAAACATCAAGGACTCACCCCCAAGGGTAAAGGCAAGAAGTCTCGACCTGCTGCGAAATCCACCCTTATGGCCAACCAATGGCCTCCTCGTGACCCCGCACCCGCTTCAGGAGAGCTCAACGCATCAGGCGTACCTCCTAGCACTGCAGGTACGCGCCCACACAGCAAAACCTCCGCTGTAGTCCTGCCTCGCCAGCAACAGGTTCCCTCTGTCTTTGGCGCAATGACAATAGGTGACATCATACGCATTATATTCTCCGTCCTTCGAGGTCTCACGACCCAACTGCCGCCATGCACATTCAAAGACATCTTGCAGAGAATCATGGCATTCGAACCGGCAGTTATTGCAATGACCGGAAGTTCACACCACGGTACTGGATGATTCCTCATTTGATGAAAGAGTCAAAGGAGCGACCGTTTTTCAATGGAACGCGAGAGGGCTTAGTGCCCGCCTTTCAGACTTCCGACAATTCACATTCAAACATAAGTTCCCAATTTTAGCTATTAGCGAATCGCGTGTAGCATCAGACTTCCGGCTTTCAGGTTACGAAGTATTTCAATCAGCTCGTCCCTCTAACGCCAGTCGGGTTCTTCTTGCCTTACGAAAAGACTTGACATATGTTTCCCATAATATCACATCACATCAAGACAATGAGTACGTCGGCGTTACTGTTCGCAAGGGCAAACTAACTTTTATTGTAATCGCTGCCTATATAGCTCCAGCTTGCAATTTTGATGCTACGCGGCTTCATGATATTATTCAACAATGTAACTCGCCAGTTTTGGTTGTGGGCGACTTCAACGCCCATAATATAGCTTGGGGTAGTGTAAGAACTACACGTCGGGGTCGTGAACTACTTGAGCTGGCAGATTCTCATGACCTATGTCTTCTAAACGACGGTTCACCTACATTCATCCGAGGCAGTCACTGTAGCAGTTGTTTAGATATTGCCTTCATGTCACGCGAACTCGTAACTCGAAATTCCTGGTTTGTTGACGTAGAGAGTCATGGTAGTGACCACATCCCTACGTACATCACAGTACGCGGCTTCCAAGCTGATAGAGCCAGACATGATCGAACCTCATATATAGACTGGACATGCTTTCGGGAGAGTGTCGAACAGCGCATACATATGACAACGACCTACGAAGAGTTTGTTTCAGTCATGAATCAATCAGCAACAGAAGCAACCAGGACAGTCAATCTTTCGGCCTCACGAACTGTTGTAGATTCAGAGTATGAAAAACTTCGAGCTATTCGCCGAAGGGCTGAGCGACGCGCACGTCGAACTAAACTACAAGCTGACATTAGGGAAGACAGGCGCACACAAAAACATATTCGCCGTCATTTAGATAAACTCGGACAAAAGAAATGGAGGGGAACCTGTGCGTCATTTGATCCCCGTGCTCCCCTCTCAAAAATATGGCATATTGCACGCGGGTTAAGATTTCCACCACAACAGAGAATGCCTTTTCACGCGATATCACTTTTCCTAAGACGCTCGCAATTGCACATTGCTGAGGAATTCTGCGCATCTCTTGTCCTATCAGCAGTGAGTGACAGTGATATCTCAGATATAGAGCATCAAGCCTCAGTTACTCCATTTTCACGTTACATGGATGATGTATTTAATGCCCCGGAATTGGATCAAGTTCTAGCTTCCCTCAGTCATTCTTCTTCTCCAGGTTCAGATAACATAACCTATGGCACACTCGCTCATTTGGGGCTTGACGCTCGCCAGCGTTTGTTGGACATATTCAACACTTCGTGGACAAGCGGCAATATACCACCTGACTGGAAAA